CAGTATTTCTCTCCCCGAATACGGAACAAGGAGTAAATGCAAATCTAATCTTTCCTAACATCCTCTCTTTCCCCCTCCCCTCGAAACTCGCGGCGGAGAAACGCGCTCCGTTTAATCGCTCCTTGGGTCCCTTATTCGATCTTGGTCGACTGTGTAAAATCGTTATAACGCAGGAGGGGAGGGGGGGGGGAGAATAATCGCGTTCTCCAATTGAGGGGAATTAAATGTATAATGCAAGCTCGATGGAGAATGTGGAAAAAAAGGGAAATATGGAAATGTGGAAGGATGTAGAAGACTAAAAACGAGCGATCCTGACCACGCCTGGGAACGCCTGTTATTATAGTAGCAGTGAGTAGAAGAGTACTTGTTATTGATTCGAATCCGGAGATCCTCTCGCGAGATTTCTTTCTTTTTTTCTTTCCGCCAGAGTGAATGGTAAAAATAATCCAATCGACAGATCTTCTCACGAACTATCCAATATTCGTTCGCTTGTTTACAAACAATATTTCGATTGTCCGTACTTCTCAAACGAATAACCTCGGTCCGTAACTTGATACTTTCGAAGAGCCGATCCTATCTCTCCAGTCCATCGAATAGCCAAAAATTTTCCTTATAAAAAAACACACACACATACAAAGGAAAAAAGAAATTTAACAGCCAACTTGTTGTTCGCTGTTAAAAAAATACGAAAGACGATGGTAATTTTTCACGGGGCTCTCGATCCTTTTCGATTCGCTCGACGACGCGGTTTATTCCCTACGAATGCGATCCGGGATTTAATTAGGGGAGCACAAACACCGTGTACACACAGGTGGGCAAAATTGATTTACAAACATTTGCGAGGTTTCGCGCTTGGACGCTCAGCTCGTGGTCAGAGGAGAAAAGCGGGGGATCGGGGGGAGGGGAGAAGAAAATATAGGATAGCGCGGCGCGTCGTTTTCGTTCGCAAACACGAGGCGCGAATTAATTGGAAAATGAATGGACCCGGATGCGGAGAAAATGGCTGTTCAAGGATCCGTTGAACAATCGAAAGGAGAATTGAATCGATACGCGGCAATGCGATACAAGCGTATTAATGCGCTTTACGATTCAATATGGCCGCCGTGTGGAACGCAATTGCGAATTGTTTGCTCGATGAAAGGGGGCCGTAAAATAATTATTCTCCCGAAAATTTCGTTTGAACTTCCTTCCTTTTTATCATGCTTGGATTTTATTATTTAACGATTTGGAAACTCGTTTTAAATTTCAAACTCAAAATCAAATATCGATATAATCGAAGATCGATCCGATACTTCTATTAGTACAACCAATAGATAATAGATGATAATTCTTCTCTTGAGATAATTGATTTGGAATAATTATTTTTTAGCATCTTTCTCTGGAAACGATATTTCGTTTTTATCGTCGATCTTTCACTTGTGCATTTTTCAATCAAAATCGCTCGTAGCGAAAAGCGTTAAACAAAGAATCGGGTAGAAACAACAGGTTCCTACAACTTGTTCTTCTCGTCCATCACGCAAAGTAGTGAACAAAAACGGAGTGTCTAAATTAAACCAACAATAATCCAATGCCCTCCCTCTCCTCCTCCGTCACACCCTCTCCTCTCCTCACCACACCACCTCCCCCTCCCCCATCTGTCCGCAAGCACTCAATACATTCTTCCACACCCCACGCTCGAAGATAAAGCTCCAACCAACTCCAACCCTCCCTCCTTCCTCCTCAGAATTTCGGGGCCGAAAACGAGAGGAGAAGATCCGTGGCGAGGCCGTGTACCGTCTTCGGTATTTAATAAACATTCCAGCGGAGGCCGCAGTTTTGCTGCGGGGCGGACGAGGGGGGGGAGGTGGAAAGCGGCGGCTAGCTCGAAGGTCGGGAATTTTTTCGTGGAAAATAATTCGTGGCTGGGATAGCGGCGGTCCAGGCTGGCTCTCGAATTGCGGAGGTGGAGGAGAGGAGCAAGTTCAATCTCCATGAAGCTTCGCCGTGGAAAATCTGATACGATGCATGCGGGGGGAGGGGGAGGAGTGGAGGCGAGGGCGAGGTCCGGTATCCGGTTAGGTTACGAAAGTAATTAAATCGTTAACAGGGGACGAGTTTGCGGCGCAATCGACGAATATGTGCGGCGGGCTTTCCCTTCTCGTTTCGCCCTTCTCGTCCACCACCACCACCACCACCACCCATTCACTGCACATCTCTCTCTCTTTGCTCTCTCTCTCTCTCTCTCTCTGGCCTCTTTCCGTTTCCCTTGATTTTCAATTTTATTATTTCTTTTGCCCAAGCCTTTGAGCACGGGGTGGTGGCCGCGCCTCGATGAAACACGGCTCGTTACACGGCGACCAAGGAACGGAGGAACTGTTAACGAATGTCGAATTTGGTTTGGGGAGGGCCTGTGATCGATTTAGATGGCGGTCTGGGGAGAGACGGAGTGGAGGGGCATCGATCGCGCGAAAGAATTGTTGCGAATCGTTGAAATCTTGCCAATCGTCTGTGTACCCCCTCCAAACGGGGAATTCCGTTTAAAGAATTGGTCGGATAGTTTCTTGATTGAATTCCTATTGTGTGGGAAAAAAATTTCTTCTTTTTTTTTTTTTTCGTATTGCCTGCTTGCGAGAAATCGAGGAATTCCCCATTCCTTGGAAATCTTTTTGGACCGATCTTGTGATGACATTTTCGTCATATAACGCGAGTAAATTTTTATTTTCGTGAGATCTTACAATTATGGATGAAGGTAGTGATTGGAAGAAAAAATTTTGCATTGATTTCTTGCAAGAAATTCGATGGAACGTGGTTCTCGATTCCTTTTGATTTTACTGCAGATATTTTCATTAACGCGAGATTAGTAGAGGTAAATTTTGTGAGACCTTACAATTATGGACGAAAATAGTGATTAAAAAAAAAAGAAAAAATGTGCGTCAGGTTCTAGGAGGAAATAATCTTTCATAGCTTCAGAAATTTATGAGGTCAATCTTCGCACAATAATGAAGCAAATACCACTCTCTCGTTTCTTCTTAATGGCGCACGATACTTTTTTTTTTAATCTTTAATATTTACTGCGTATGTACTAAGCGTGACGAGAAAATAACGCTGAAAAGAAATCGAGAACTTTTCGAGAGGATGACTTCGTTGGTGAGAAAAATTCGCACGGATACGTTAGAATTGATCGAAGGTGGAGAGAATGGTGGATCGGGGAATGGAAGGGTGAAAGGGTGGCGAGGATAGATAGAGATATATTCAGAGATGCAGTCGGGGCTACTTTGCGTCATTGCACGAAACCCTATGCGACGGTGAATTTACATAAGCGGCTTTTCCCCGGCCGGAGCTTTTCTCTTGGTCCTAAACAATATTGACTGGGACCGCTTCCGCCTCTCCTCGCCACCTCAAATGGCGCGTGGTTGACTGACCGTGCGATACGTGAAACGCCTATTATGCGCGCTAATCACGCGACAAATAGGAAAACACAAGTTACTTTAATTTTAAGAAGAAAATTTCGCAACGAATCTCTTGGAATATTTAGAAATTATTTGAATTATTAGAAGGACGAGCGATCGTTTTGTAGCTTTCATGACACGTTGAAATCGAAACTATTTTAATCTTCACATTTCCTCTCTCTCTCTCTCTCCATTTCCTTATTGTCAAAGATAATCGAGATAATAAATGTAATAACTAAGCATATTCCAACCATTTGTTTCAGAACGTAAATTGTTCGTTGGTATGCTGTCGAAAAAGTTTACCGAGAACGACGTTAGGAACATGTTCAGCGTCTATGGAACCATCGAGGAATGCTCGGTGCTGAGGGACAGCACCGGAAAAAGTAAAGCCTGTGCCTTCGTTACCTTCGCTAGTAAACAATACGCCATCAACGCCATTAAAGCTCTTCATCACTCGCAAACGATGGAGGTGAGTGGAATTGAAACACAATTGTTTCCACTATCTCTGCTACTTAACTCTTACCGCACAATGTCTTCTTTCCTTCCTAATTGTCCTTAAAATGATCGTAACAATGCCACCTACTTTTGTACTTTACCACTCCTCCATTGAGAGAGCCGAGAGAAGAACAATTTCTTTATAACATTCCTCGAACGTTCACTTTCGTTACACCGATTCTTCTTTCTTATGATGTTAATTAGTGGCGCAAGTTTAACTTTGAGTGGAAACTTTTCCAAAAAGAAAAGAATTCGATATAAGACAGGAAAAAGTATTTTCTTACATTTTACAAGTTAAAGTTTTCTTTCTTGTCAGGTTTATTCGACGATCGTTTCAAATGAAATGAAAAATGTGCACGGAACATATATTTTAATTAAATTAGTTGAATATAATTTTTTGAAAAAGTTAAATAATTCGAGGGAAAGTATATTATTAAAATTCAGTTTTCCGCGGAAAATATTTATATTGTAACTAAATTAAATTTTTAACAAATTCAATTATTCTCGGTTAATTGCTATCGAAAATTAATTTTCGTGAAACTGATGCGCCTGACAATGTAGAGAGGCTGAAAGAAACTTTGCATCCTTACTAAAGTTTCATCGATCATGGGAGCGTAGGACAAGTTACACACTTCGGTAAAGACACACTAAAGATGCAATAAGGAGGAGAACGCGATACCTCCGATATTCAGAAATTTTAATAGTTAAATTATTACTTAATTACTAACGATCTTTTATTCAATTTTTATGAAATATATATTTTATCAGCTTTGTATAAATATATATATATTCATTATTCACGAAGATAAATTTTCCACGAAGAGAGAAGAAGAATTGAAAATAATATTTTCTACCTCGATCTATTACAAAAATTCTTCCACGAAATTAAAATATAATCTCTCTCTCTCTCTCTCTCTTTATTTTTATCTCGTACTATGCACAACATTCAAATTTCATTCATTTCCACGTAACAATTTATACTTCCAGGCTCGCAAAATATTTTCTCCAACTCTCTGTATCGGGTTATGCAACAATAAATATTTAATAAATATCCAGAAAAAAAAATATATATATATATATATGTATATATGAAAAATACGGTATAACGACCATATATTTCCAATAATCGATTAACGCCTCTCCACTCGGCTCGCGATAAAAGTTTCAATTCGAGGGAAGTATCGAGAGCAATAATACGATGCGACTATAATGGCGGGTGTACTCACCCTTCGAATCGAGTTCCATACGCACGCACACACACTCTACGGAATTGTTTCTTCTTCCCAGCCTTCGTAATGCACGCCACAGTATGCAGAGAACCATACCGAAGCCTTGTTTCGACCGATGAAGAAAGAGAATCGTGCCAAGGCACGCGGCTACGACAGCAATTCCATTTTGATATCATGAATATTTCCAGCTGCGGGCTCGTCGTCGTGCTTACTCGTCGTCGTGGTCGACTTAACTGGCACGATTTCGTGCTTCCTATTACCCACGTAAACAGCCTCGCATTTCGTATTCCCCTTTATACAGGCGATTCAAAGGAAGGTATATGTCGTATACATATATCCAGAGGATCGTTATTAATTATTATGGGTTCGTGGAACGATCATCCGTGATTCGTCGCAATAATTCTCCTCTTCGACGACTGTTCTCCTTCGATTATTTGCCGTTGTTAATAAGATAAATCTTATTAATCCTTTTACGTGTGTAACAGATACGAGTGTGATATCTTTGAAGATGTGTCACGATTTTCATTTAATAAACGAGTTAAATGGTATTTTTTAAAAATAAAATTAAATTGTTCCATCTTTTAAGGAATGAATCGAAAGAGAATTATTTCTGAAAATATTGTGGGTGTCTTTTCCTTTCTAAAAAGTATATGAAGTAAAAAAAAAAAAACAATTCGAAATTTGAAATATCATTCTCATCACTCGACCGATTACAGATCGTCTAATTTCAATTTTCCTCTCGCTTCCTCCTTTTCTCTGTATGCGTACATTCGTAACTAGTGACTTGAATGGTGGTCCCAAAATTAGGGGCAATTAGTCTCATTAGTTCGCATGGTGAACACGACTGGCATCTATTCATATTCAAACACTCACATTCATATCCTAAATGATATTCGAATTAGGTGAGTTATGTTGGAGATCATTAACTGAAGAGTAATCGCTAATTATAATAATGCTGGTTTGAAAATACTCGCGACCTCAAAGAAATTCCTATTATTTTAGATGGGATTATTATGTACTAATTCTCTTTGTCGTTAATCTAATGATAGATCCATAATTTATTCTTGGTAAGAAGTATACTTTGAAATCTGAAATTTATTTTTTGATCATTTTTATCAAAGCAATTAAATCATATTTGCCTGTACATTTCATGATCAAACAATTATCAAGAACTTTTAATCATTTTTAATGTAGAGTCTGTATAATCTTCATATTAAAGATGTATATATTTATCATATCTTATTTTTTTTTTTTTTCTTAGGGATGCTCGTCGCCGCTGGTTGTGAAATTTGCAGATACGCAGAAGGAAAAGGACCAGAAGAGGATGCAACAACTTCAGACGAATCTTTGGAATATAGCAGGAGTCAATATGGCGCCGCATTACCTGACCGTCTGTACCTTTAATATTTCATAACCGACCTTTTTACTCGATATCAAAGAGCCCATTTGCATCGAGAATGAAATACTTTCTCGTAAATTTATTTCCCTAGAATCTTTCAAATTACGCGCGTAGACTTTACGTGAATCAAAAAGCATTTCGTGTCCATACGAAAAAGGATGAAATTAGATGATAAAACCTGATATACTTTAGAATGTATAATTTCTTGATGCGAATCTTATATACCTGAAACCAACTATAATATTATTATTTTTGACGTATAAATATAATTCTCGGGTGCAAAAAATACAATTTTTGTTATAATTTGCAACTGAAACGATTCATAGTTAGAAAAATCGAAATATATAATAAATCGAAGAAAATACTAGATAAAATTAATTTAATAGTTTATTGTTATATGCACTTAACACGTTTATCACATGGATTGTTTTCGGCTAGAAAAAGTTTTTTTTAGCAAGAATTTCCATTCAGCCCGCCAACGTTTTCAACGTATATAGAACAAGTAACAGCATTGACAGTAAATACACGCGACCTGAATGGAAAGTCACGCGGCACAGCATGGAACAGTATTAAGTCGAATTTAGCGCACAAACATTGCTTCGAGATAAACGGTATCCATTATCCACAGTAATATAACTCGATCGAAGAAATAAATGGGGATATTATTTCTCTTATTTCGATAAATTGATCAATTCGAAAAAAATCTTGTATTTCTACATGTCGAGAGAACTCGATCATTAACCTAACTTAACATAACCTACCGATATTATCCGACACTTTAACGCATGATATCATTCCATTATTAAACATTAATGACGTTTAAAAGAAGAAGGATGAAAACACCTTGTTCATCGAGAATTGTGTCTGCTTGCAGAACGATACGCCAGCTTTGGCTCCCGCCTCGCTGCAGCTGTTGCAACAACTTCAGGCGACAACAAGCGCCGCGACTCCAGTTGCGGCAGGTGCTGGCGCAAGCGCACTGTCGAGCGTGCAGCATCAATTGTTGCTCCAACAGCACCTCGGTCTCGGCGCAGCAACTCCTGCGCATGCGGCCGCGCCAGCCGTGCCGAGTCCGCCGGAAATCAACCCTGCGAATCTGCAGGGACTGGCGACGCTCGCGTCTTTGAGTAACACCGCCGGTGAGTATGGTTGGTGTCGATTTGCTTTATCTTTTATTTTCGTACCTTACCTTTACCTTACCTTCTCCTTGCGTTCTCCTCTACTTTTTATTTATCTTAATTTATACTGTAATTTATTTCATTATACGTTCGCCTATTTGTCACGGATATATATTCGCGTGAATCGTTGTTGGCAAAGATAAAACAAGCTTGGAGTTTTGTAATCTTAGAAACTTAATCTCACGATCGATCTCAAGCCGGCCAATTTATAACGGATAAATAATACTTTATTTTTGTAAATTTATTTCGGTTACATTTATTTAATATTTATTACGTGTAACATTATTTTCCGTTAAATTGTCGTAACTAACATATTTCGAAATATCCGAGAAAAATGTTTTACGTTTTATTATTAAATGTACAAATGAAATCGAGGTATTTTTATCTTTCAGAATTCTCAAAACAAATCAATATAAAGTGTTTGCCTATTTGATTTCTTCACTGAACTTCGATACCTCGTAACGAATAAAGATAACATTCCTATGATTTTTTCGCGTTCCTACGATTCTCACAAATTTGCCAACTCGTGAACAAACATTGCAATCGTAATTTATACAACCCGTACCATCGTCCTTTTTCATGTATACCTACTTAACGTTAAACCAACATTCATCATCCATTGTCCAGTTGTTGAAAGTAGCTCTTAATCGCTCGATACGCACTCGTCAGCCCACCACCACTTGTAAATTATCGAGCTACTGTTTCGTAAGTTTCGCGTGCGGCCATGTTTAACCATCCCGTATTTCATTTTACCTCGGTTGTCTTTGCGATAATAAAATTGTGCATTTAACGAGGTCGAGAAGCACGCCAATATAATGATAGATCGTAGATATCTATCATTAGCATTCGCGTTAAAACGCGTATTTATCGTTTATTGCTAAAAAAAAAAAAAAAATCTACGATTACTCGACGACACAGACCAGAACTCGCACGATCGTGTCACCAAGCAAATTAGCTATTAAAAACTTTTTTTTCTTAAATTTTCGTTAACACAATGCAAAATAATTTTCCTCTATTATTAATTTGGATTATTATTAGCGAGCACAAAAAAGATTACATGATTTCGCAATTGATTAATCACTAATTCATAAGACAATTTATATTATCTTCCTTAATAATCTTCAAATTAACTTATTGTCTTCAAGAAAAATTTATTGACAAGTTTCTGAAGATGATCCGTAATGATCGTGTCTCAATTATAAATTCAAATTAAACTTGTATTACATTAAAAATAGACCGTATTTTACCATGATAAATTTTTATTCTTATTTTTAAAATTTAATTTTCATTTCTTTTCTTATCCTAAATGTCAAAATATTAGGAACGAAACAATTTTCTGGGCAAGCGCAATTATTATAAGAAATTACATAACGAAATATCGAGTCGCGTTATCACGTTACACGTATATAATTTTACCATCTAATTATTCCGTTTGTGTTGGATTATGCACGTTGCAGCAAATGCGGGAGTATCGCCGATGAGTATGCAAAACCTGGTTACTCTGGCTGCCATGACAGGCGGAAACGGCAACCTTCAAGTGTCGCCAAACAGTGAGTAAAACAAGAAACTTCCATCAAGCACATAATTATAGAGAGACGCGGTAACGTTGAAATTCAATTTATTATTTATCTTCATTATTATTATTGTTATGTGTTCGTCCATGTTCCTTAATATTATAAATAAAAAAAAAAAAATAAGAAAAAGAAGAGCAAATAAGAGAAAACACGAATGAAAGATTACATAATAATAATGATATTAAATTTAAAAAAAAAAATAACAGCATGATGAAAAACGAGGATGAATATTTTTGTTATTAAATAATATATGGTGGAATATTTGACATAATTTTGCGCGATGTTGATTAATCTGGTAGCTATTAATCAGATAATCTGTTTCATTTCATAGATCGTTTTATATATATGTGTATGTATATTATTTATTTATTTATTTATATGTGATTTATTTGTATACCGAGAATTTTAAGTGTACGTTGTAAAATATGGAGAGTTAGAAAGTAACTTTGTTTTTTCTTTTTTGTTTGTATTAACAAATCTGGAATAACTTTTGCCGAGTTATTAAAAATTCCTGTGAATCCAATAATATGTAATTATAAAAATAAATTACAAATAATAGAAAATCACGTATCGATCACAGTTCGATATTTATGGATATTAATTTTATATTGGTAATAAATTAAATTAAATATAAAAATAACGTAAAAAAAAAAAAAAATTAAAAATCAAAAGTTATTCCAGTTAAATCGTAAATTTAAAAAATCGTTTGTAAATTTATTGTAAAACGAATTATTTACATCCTCGTTAAATTAACGCGATTCCTTCTGTCTTCTTCTTGTCACTTATATTATACATTTATATATATATACTTCCGTGTCTATCTATCGTTAACCGCGATCGAGGTCGATCGTTCCAAGCACGCCAAAGTAATCGCAATAACAATGATATCGCACGACGAATATTTTATTTCGTACGTTGAGTTATCGGCTAAAATAAATTTCCAAGTTTATACGTGCTGAATATGTAAACACGTTACTAACTCCGCTTGTTAATATCGTGAACGTGTTCTGTGTTTCAGCGTTAAGCGGACTGGCGAATTCGACAGCAGGTATGTCGCTATGTACGTGTCGCATTGCCTGGTATAGTATTAACAATTACTAAATTAATCTCGACCGTTCGCGACACTCTAACTTCCTCGTGTTAATCACGGTTCGATTTATATCACAATTGATCCGCTTGAACGAAAAAAAATAAAAAATATATATATATAGCGGATGCGTTACGACTACTGGATCTTACACGGTCTTGTACGGTGGCGCCCCCACGGTATTCTAGACACATGATGGCGACTTATCATCAGTTGCACATTGTTGGCCATATATATATATATATGTGATTCTATGAAAATGATTTTATTTATATTGCTTCACACTTCAAATCGTTAGTCTAAAAAAAAAAAATAATATTTTGTAAGATAAAGAAAATCAATTCTATGCAATGAAAATGAATGAAGAATTATAAAAGGGAATTCAATATACCTTCCAATTGACTGTATTAGTTTTCATACATTTATATGGCCACTCTGTGCATGCACACATAAACGTATCACGTTCCATCGTATATATATATATATCACCATTCCCTCGCATTTCGCCTCTTTTCTCTCAGAGAACCTCTTAACTTCGATGTTACCGGATCCTCCGCATTTCCTCGTGATGCAGATGCATCAGACGATTACTTCGTTCGAAGGACAGCAAAATGAGGATCTTAATCAATAAGATTGATTAATGCTGTTACATTAAGTTATCACGCATAAATTCTTGTGTAATATTTTCAATTTCAAATTTTTTTATATCGTTTATAATTGTTATTAAAACATTTTTTTTTAAATATACGTTCAAGTGATAATAATTATTTCTTAGACTTTTTTATATAATTATGAATATGTAACAAATTAATTTGTTTGAAAATCGAATTAATAATAAAATCACCTGATGCATTTGCTAAAAAATTACAAAGATTTTCATAATATCTTCGATCCTTCACACTCGTTTAGAATCGTGTACTCATCTCTTCTCCTCTTTTTTTGTTCTCCTTTTTTATATGAACGCACGTCAGCGTTTTAATATGCACATTTTTTTTTTCGTGCGTAGCTGTCCTTCTTGGAAAGAGCGGAAACACAGGTGAGAAGAGACCATTAAAACTGTATACATATCACGCCTTTATCGACTCGTTTGTTGAAACTTGCTCCCTTTTTCAAAGTATCATCCTCTATCCCTTCATTCGCTTCTTTATTATTTTACCTTCTCCCTTTTCCAAAGTGTTTTAGAATTTTTCAATCAAATAAGCAAGAAAATGAAAGCATAAACAAAATATTATTAAAAAGTAGAATCATTAATTTCCATCATTACGAGATATGTAAATATGAAGTTATAATTTTAACATATATTTCTTATTCTATATACATATTCATTAAAGAAAATATAATATCCTTCATTATATCCACTGCTTGATTGATCATGACACGCATAGTTCTAAAATATTTTATACACGATCATCTATCCTTTCCTATATTCCTATCTTCATTCACTAATTAGATTTGTAATTACTGTTGGCTGTTTAATCGATGGAACGAAGCTCACCCAATATTTGTCCGATATGTTTCGATTAAGCTTTAATTCGTGTGTGCCGTTTCGTAATATTCGATGGTAATAATAGCGGGGTGTCACACAGCGAAAAATAGTATAATCCTACGCGATACTTGTGTTTGAAAATGTCCATTTATAGGTGAGCTCCGAGTTACGCTTATTTAGAGTATTTTAAGTAATGTAATTTGTCGATTCACGTTCGGTGATATTAGTGATATTAGAAGTGACGTTTCATTTATCGATCGTTAATTATCGATAATTATATATATATGTGTCCAATCATATAGAGGGGTACAAGTTCATAAGTTTTCAGAACTTATGTTTGCACAATTTTATGAAATATCTATTTTAAAAACGTATTGCATTTATCGTAAATACATAGATATGTAAGATATTCTTCTTTTGATAAATATTATTCTCTTTACACGCATCATACTACATTTAATACTACATCGTGTATATAATAGCTTTCTGCAATTAACAATTATACAAACGAATAATATACCTATGTAATTTGCACGTTGAAATATTGTATTATACGAAATATCGTTTTTTTTTTTCCAAAGCATCTTCAAAGATAACTAAAAGATTAAAAATTATTCTAAATTAATAATTAATTCTACATACAATATTTGTATATACAAATTGCTTCTAGTTATTACACGAAACACGCATTCACACAATTAACAAACACAATAATATACTTTTGACGGTATCAGAGCTACTTTTTTTTTTTTGTTCTTTTTATGTCAGTTTATTACAGCATGATGCATGCAGATTACGGAATTATACTTTTACAAAAAAAAAAAAAAAAAAAAAGAAAAGAAAAGAAAAACAAGAAAAAAGAGAGAAATGGGAATTGAATTGATTATTTTGCGATTGGGCGCTATTGTAGAAATTTGAACGAATGAAAAGAGATGAAAGGAAAGCTTATCTAATCGATTTGGTTTCGATTTTCAAGGGTCCACCGGAGGTAGCCTAAGTCCTGTCACGTCCCTAGCGCTCAATTCCTTAACGGGGACACCTCTGAACGGGTTGCAGGACTCCTTGAGCAACGCCTACTCGAGTTTACAACAGTACGCAGGTAAGAAGATATATTTTCAAAATGCTTGTTTTTTCTCTCTCTCTCTCTCTCTCTCTCAGATCAGAATGTACTCTTGATATTAATATGGTAAAAATGGTATTGTTTAAAACTTGCACTCATGGCTGTGTGAAAAAAGTATTTGTTCTAACGTGTAACTGTGCGCCTTAAAGCTCTCATTGGAAAGACGACGGTGACCGTGGAAAAGAAAGAATTACATAGTGAGTAACTAAACAGTGGAATGCCTGAACCTTCCTTTAGTTATGTGCGATGGGACTGTGCTATTATTATCTTTGATTAATTTGCACGTGATCGAAATTTGCAGGGATGGATAATATGCTTACGTGCAATGAGAATATATAATAATTTAATGAAAATATCGAGTTAAGTTATTAATCACGGTTTAAGATACGTTGCGCGTAAGCATACGGTCACCACTGTGTATAATACAAAATCCAGCTCACAAGATACGCAATTTTGTTGAAGGATAGAAAAAGGATTAAAAAAAGATGTATTTGTTACGTTTCTGGGAAATATTACATGAAGCAATGAATGAAATAACCGTGTTATTGAACATTGCAAAAAAGTTGATGGTGCAAATTTAAAATGAAGATGATAAATATAATGATATACCATTATATCAAGTAATATGTTTTAATATATTTTTTTCGTATAGCAAATCAAATTTACTGTAAAACTCGTGATAATAACTCGAGATAACAGAAAACAATTCATTTCATAAATTGGAGAGGGATACGAATTAATAAAATAATCCAAACTTTAAAAAACCGTTTTATTACCGTTTTAATCGTTCCACAAATAACTTTTATCTATTATTATTTAATCAATTACTCGATATCTATCCTCGATAAATTGATGCTATAACACGATTCGATAACCAACCATTTTGTATCTTCAATAATCTAAAACCGTAATCCAACCAAAAATCAACCAATAATTCAAACCCGCAATCGAGCCAATAATTAACTTCATGTTGTATCTCCGATAATTGGGAACCGTAATCGAGTCAATAATCGCGGTCATCAAAGTGCGAATCTCGTGGGGTGCGAAGAATAACACAATATGTAGTTGAATCGATGGAGGAATAAGAAAATCGATGATGACGAATTTTCTGGTTTCAGGATTTCCCGCGTTCACAGCGGCGGCAGCGGCGGCGGCGGCGGCGGCTCAAAAGGCGAAATTCACTAACACGGATAAGCAGATAGAGGGTCCAGAGGGTTGCAATTTATTTATCTATCATCTACCGCAGGAGTTCAGCGATACTGACCTTGTCTCAACGTTTCTGCCATTTGGAAATGTGATCTCGGCGAAGGTTTTCATCGATAAGCAGACGCAACTGAGTAAATGTTTTGGTAAGATGCGACAATATTCTCCGACGTATTATTCGTTTTTAACGTGGCTTTATTTGCGTCAAATATTTGGATTATGATATTAATCGAAGACGCATTTATGTTTCTATTTATGCGCAAGATTTGTGCAAAAGAAATCTGGACGATTTTATCTGAAAAAAGGAAATGTCACTAGATGAAATGTCATCTAGTGATCCCTAACATACTATTACTCGATCTCATAGAATTAAAATATCACATTTATACGAGTGATATTAAGTGATAAATAAATAAAAAAATGATTTATACTTATCATTTATATTAATACACTTGCGATAAATGACCAAAATGTTTAAATTCGCATTTAAGTAATATCTTTCAAAATACGAATAATTTACAGGCTTCGTGTCGTACGACAACGTGGCGAGCGCACAAGCAGCGATCCAAGCGATGAACGGCTTCCAGATCGGTATGAAGCGGCTGAAGGTCCAACTGAAACGATCCAAGGACGCATCGAAACCCTACTAGCCGACATCGTCCACCGTTCGTAGGTAGATACCAAGGACTTCTCGGATACCACGGCTCGAAACCAACGACCTTGGTGTCCTTAATCAAAAAAAAAAAAAAAAAAAAAAACAAAACAAACAAACAAACAACAAAAAATTGTTTACACATTCAATATATCTCTCGACGTCGATCATCATTGATGTTCTTCGGTCTGGATAGATAGGATTAGCTCTCTTCGTTCGACCAAAGTATTGAGCAGGCGTTGCTTGCAAAACAAATCATTTCTAGTCAAGCAATATTTTCTGTGAAGGTCGAAGAAATAATTTATGATAGTGTTCTTCTTTCTTTTCTTTTTTTTTTTTTTTTTTTAGAGGAGAGGTAATTTTCGTTTGAAATTTTAGATATTTAAAGTTATATTTCGAAACAAGGCTGTGATAATGTTGAAGACTTATTATATCGTCAATGCTGTTTTCCAAAGAATATGAAGTAATTAGGGAGAACGTTCTATATATATATATATATATATTTATATGTATATATTTTGTTTTTGAAAACGTTCTATCATATATTTCAAACGAGAACTAGTTTTCTCGAAAGTTCGACTTTCTCTTACTTGTCAGAGTCCGTCCATATTACCTACGTGTATTCTGGTAATCTTATATCCAGAAGATTATACCTATCTTTTCTTCTCGTTTGTTTGACTGTTGTATATCTGTATTTCTCGTGATATACGTGTTTTTTATTAATCGTGTCGTTCTTCGAAATCGATACCTCGTATTATGACAGGATTAAGCATCACTTACAAGTGAAATAAAAAATTTTTGCTCTTTATTAAACGCAATGACGTGACTTCTGAATATTTTGGTTTCGCTTTTTTGCCGGTGATAAATAATTTTTATCACTTTCTTCCTATTTCTATTTTTCTTCTTTCTTTTGTAACGTTTTATAAAATTGATATTTCAACATATGTGTTCATTATTAGCGCGTAAGAACTTTTTCTAATACATGTTCGATTTCTTGACCGACAACTTTCTAAGTGTGTACATATTATCATCACTGATTCTATACACGGAGAAAACACATATAGATATTTATTATTAGATGATAAAACTTAGAAAACTGCATCTTTGATTTTAATATGTTCATTTTTAAAAAATTCGAAAGTTGCATTTATTGGTAAAAACAGATTAATCTAAAACATTACTGTACAAAATAGAATAATGATTTTAAAAAAATTTTTTCTGTATTGTCCTATCTATTAAATATCTATGTTACATTAGGTATAAAAAAAAAATGTTTTTATTGTTTAATGTAAATATTTATATAAAATTCTTTATAATATCGCACAACAATCGTATTATTCTCTCAAATATAATAAAATTGATAAAATTTTATATAAATTTTACAGTTTTTATAAAAATACAATCATAAATACATAAAATAAATCTTATATCGAATATCGTATTTCTTCGTGCACAGAATTTCAGAATTAACATATCATGAAAATTATTTATAAAATGTAAATTATATAAAAATATAAATTAATCACGCTGCATCAAAACGAGACCTAAATATTCTTATATATTTATATACTGCGCTCGTCCTTCGATTTTCTTGAAGGTGCCCGTTATATTGAAGGTGCCCTTCTAGCCTTATACTGCCCCACCAGCCCCCTTTTTCTCGCGTCAGTGGTGTAATCAAAGTTCATTTCGTTGCAAACGGCTGCCAATCAAGCTTACTGTGCTAACTTTTGTGCACAAAGTGGAAATTACGTAAACGTGAAGTTTCACTAACCAATTCAGTTGTAGCTTCTCCTCAGGATATGAGAGTACAAGTAGTTCGCTTTGAGTTTTTTCTCTCACGCAACATTAAGTTTCGTACGTTTAACTAAACTTTACTTTTATTGTTGTTGTTCTTATTTTTACTTGTTTGTTTTATTATTTTTTTAAAGATCTGCTTCTATCGTTCCTATTTAATCTTAGTTTTATATATATATACACGTATATATACGTTATATATATATATATATATATATATATATATATAATATATATATATATATACATACATATACATATTTTTTCGATAGTAATTTCGTCGATAATTATTTGTTTGTTATCTTACCGACACAAGGTACCAATGAAAACAACTGCAAATGGTCTACCTCACTAATTTATCTAATTATCTGATTACGCCACTATATTTTATTATTGTAATCGCAACATTCAGTCCCTTGTTATTATTATTTTTTTTTTTCTTTTTTCTAAATTGTACAGGGCACACAGAACTTAGAACGTTCTATCGTGATAGTAATATTCTCGAAGTTTGATGGTTAATTTACGCTATGACGCTTTTTTAGTTGTTAGTACTAACATCGCCGTGTGTTCTTTTTTTTTCTGGGATGTCGTCGGACGTCAAGCACCATTATTGCCAATGATGGTTTGTCGATTTTCTTTCTTATAAAATATCCTTATAAAATATTTAATTACATAAAAATCTTTTCTGATCGTCAAATTTATATTTTGAAAGAATAAAATTGTCGATGAACCATGGTGGTGTGAAAGAAGCAACAAGAATCATGTGATAAAAATGAATAATAATAAATATGAAAAAAAAATAAAAAATAAAACTAATTTATCAAATAATAATGTTACGTTCTTAAACAATTAATAAGATAGATCCTTGTCGCTCCTATCTAAAGAACGACGTACCGGCATACCACCTGTGTATACGATGCACGTTGACGTCATATTTGCAAAATCCTGCGATAATATTTTTATTCAATTCATTTATCTCGCGAAGTACCATCTCCCAATGCATAAATTTACTGTATATATAGTATATATATATATATATATATATATATATATATACATATATATATATATATACATACATATACATATTTTTTCGATAGTAATTTCGTCGATAATTATTTGTTTGTTATCTTACCGACACAAGGTACCAATGAAAACAACTGCAAATGGTCTACCTCACTAATTTATCTAATTATCTGATTACGCCACTATATTTTATTATTGTAATCGCAACATTCAGTCCCTTGTTATTATTATTTTTTTTTTTCTTTTTTTCTAAATTGTACAGGGCACACAGAACTTAGAACGTTCTATCGTGATAGTAATATTCTCGAAGTTTGATGGTTAATTTACGCTATGACGCTTTTTTAGTTGTTAGTACTAACATCGCCGTGTGTTCTTTTTTTTTCTGGGATGTCGTCGGACGTCAAGCACCATTATTGCCAATGATGGTTTGTCGATTTTCTTTCTTATAAAATATCCTTATAAAATATTTAATTACATAAAAATCTTTTCTGATCGTCAAATTTATATTTTGAAAGAATAAAATTGTCGATGAACCATGGTGGTGTGAAAGAAGCAACAAGAATCATGTGATAAAAATGAATAATAATAAATATGAAAAAAAAATAAAAAATAAAACTAATTTATCAAATAATAATGTTACGTTCTTAAACAATTAATAAGATAGATCCTTGTCGCTCCTATCTAAAGAACGACGTACCGGCATACCACCTGTGTATACGATGCACGTTGACGTCATATTTGCAAAATCCTGCGATAATATTTTTATTCAATTCATTTATCTCGCGAAGTACCATCTCCCAATGCATAAATTTACTGTTCTTCAATATCCACTTTTTTCATTTATATCGATTTATTTTTTAAAATAAGAAAGTGAAGGGAAAAAATTTCTGTAATCCTCAGAATCATATGTGTATATATTTCGACAAAATAAAAAGTAAAAATTAGCAAAACATTAACAGTTATGAAAGAAAAAATCGTAAATTCTGAAAAGAAAAAAATGTTTCGATGACGATCGATTTCGTCACCGTGCACGTTTGCCCAGGGTATATCCTACATATCTGGTGTGTGGTGGTGACTAACCTGTCCGTGTGTTTGTTTGTGTGCCAGCAGGTGGCCTGTGACGTTGTGACCGTGTTCTCGATCGGAGTCGCCGTGCCATGTCAGTATCAGTCAGTCGAATCGGTCAATCGTTCGATCGATCGGTCAATCGATTAGTCGATCAGTCGATTAGTCACGACTCCTTGGTCAGCCTCTTGATCAATCATTCTGTGTCTGTCGGTGCCTGTACACATCTGCCCGCTCTCGCTCCTCTTACAAGAAGCGGTTGCCCGCTCTACTCCTACACATATATTATATATTACCATGATGCTTCCTAATTTTTTCCTCACGTGACCATCCTCGAAGAAAAAAAACGAGAAAAAAAAGACAACACTCCTCGAACGAATCCATCCACCTACGAGCTACCTCCATGTTTTATTTCGCGTACACGCGCACCGTTTCCGCGTATTGGTCGCCACTGCTTGGTCTGTTCCACATTTAACCGAGGATAGATGGCAGCACACTGATTGTCAATCGTGGCGCGTTACCCTGTGAACGCTCTGCTTCGTAAATAGAAAACGATATAAAAAGAGAAAGAAAGAGAAGAATCCTCAATGGTCATCAATCAACTTTTATAACTATGGGCCAAGCCGGTGCGAAATTAATCGAGGTGCGGAAACGGAATCAGAACGAGGAATCGTCGTGGGAAAAATAAATGCTCGATCTCGCATTTAAAAATTCGAGAGAGGCCAGGAAAACGGCGATATCATCGTTCAGTGTGTAAAGAGTAGCGAAGCGGAAACCGGAGCACCACCGATCGAGCACTATGTTTTTATGTTCCTTGGGCTGAACTGTAACACACGCTACCTTATCTCTCTGTTTCTCTGTATGTGTGTATATATATATATTATATAGCATATTCGAACGTATGCATACCCATATATCTGTGCATGTGTATGTACGAAAATGTGCGTATGCGCGAGTTGTGCGGTCTAAAGCTGATTGAAACACTATAAAAAGAAAAGAGTTCGTTACAATAGAATATAGTTACCGCGATCTTTCAGTCGCTTAATTTACAAGCGATTCGAAATAAACGAACGAAAAAGAAATATAGAAACGAATCAATTTTAGATCGCAATAAATTATTTGTGGACCTTTAGTGTAAGAAATATTTGCGTACAATCATTAACTAGCCGTTAAAAGGAAAGAAAAAATAATAAGGAACAAAAGTATGCTCGTTCCATGAGACGAAACTTGTATAAATACCTTGTATGTATTATACGAGAATACTATCGCGCATGCGTTCACTTATCGACTGAGAATCGATTATTATCGGCTCACTTTCGGGATCGCCGTCAGCGTCGCGAATCGCCTGTTCATATGTAGATAAAAAAAAAGATACGCACTAATTATTATAGTGCCGGCTCTAATCGAATAAATAATAGGAAAAAAGTGTGTGTAGAAAATGGAGAACCATTGAAACAAAATCATTGAAAAAAAAAAAATAATAATAATAAAACAAAGTGAATGCAAACTAAACGCTAGAACGAAAATAAAAGAATATGTGGACCGAGCGAAATGGTCAGAGTCCGATTAACTGTTGTAAATTAAAATAATATAATGGTGTAAAGATTACCAAAAAAAAGAACCAAAAACAAAAAAAAGACAAAACTGGAACAAGGAGACAAAACGAAGTGTAGGGAAAAACGATACATAAGTAGCATTTTTTAATGACTTTGTGATAACGTTGTACCGTACATAGGATTGGACTAGGATCGCTTTTTAACGTGTGTATGATAGAAATAAGCGTGGCATGAGGAACTTAAAATGATGGAAAATTTCGAATTAAACTAAATTACAGGAAAGAAAGGAAAAAGCAAACAAAATTTTTCATCAGGTGACACTTCACTAGCGTGCACGCCATCATTCTTATTTTCTTTCTTTTTTTCTTTCTCTCCCCCTTTTCTTTCGCCCGTACCGAGTAGGTACTTATGATTTTTAATTGTTTTCTGTTGTGTTCGAACCTGTAGATAAATTATACGTGTCCACGGGTAAACGAAATTTGTACGTTTCAGTACACTATGAGAAGAAAAAAGAAGAAAATTGGAAACATTCGAGAAAATTTGAGAAACCTTTACGATTATTATTATACGACAGTCACGTGGCCGATCACATGATTTATACGAATTAATCTTGAGTCAGTAACCATTTTTGTTACATTATATGACAAATATAAATGATTTTACGAAACACCTAAGAGAAAATATTTGTACTTTGTTAACTTTGTTTTTATCTACGTAGTGTTTAAGTTTTTCGAAACGATGTAGAAGTGATCAGGATCTTCTATTAAGAATTATAGGTTTTAATTGATCTTTTGAGGTTCAGAACTTCAATATAAGGACATTTAGGTCGTTACTGATGCAAGATTAACTCATTGATGTCATTGATGTAAAGTACTTAATTTCACTGTATTCTTAAAAAGGTATACGATTTCATCAAAAAAGTAGGAAAAAAAAAAAAAAAGAACAAATAAGATATTGGAGAGTCCAGAAATGATAGTTGGATAATTTTCGTATAAAATTAAATCGATCTGCGTGTTCCTTACATTATTTCTTATCGCCAATTTATGAAAGATTTGCATATTTTGTGGAATCGCTCTTATTATTTAAAAATCAAGAAACGAAAAGAAAAAATGAGAGGAAAAAAATTGTTAATATTATAGCAAGATAATGGAACATTGCATTGCTCTCCCTCAGAACAAAAAATCGAAAATCATAAGGAGAAGAAGAACGATGTAGTAAAAACTTCGTCTTCGACTTGAAAAGAGAAGTATCCAAAGTGTTTCAATTTTGAATTTAGAGTTAAATCTTATTTCACGCGAAATGATCATGAATTTCATAGTTGAATCGTATCGACAAGACAAACTTCATTGCAAAATATAATTAAATTATTTTTTTATATCGAATTACTTATTAACTTCTGCACAATGAAAGAAGTTAATAATTGGAAGATTTTTAAGAATCGAAAAAGTAATTAGAGATAGTAGATCAATAATAGAATTGTAGAGAATAATAAATAAAATAATCGCGTGAATTTGTCTTGTAAGTATGAATTAAAAAAAAAAAAAGAAAAAAAATATATATATATATCTACTCGCCATTGAATAAGAAAAAACAGCTGGAGTGTATGGGTGATCATGACTGGCTCTCTTTCTAATCACTCATTTCCACGAATCGTCTCTTTCGTCATTTTCCCATTTTCCCGTCCTTTTTAAAAGGTTGGTTAAAATTTTGAATTAATAGTTGTAATGAATTAGAGAAATTGAGTTTTTTTTAAAAAAAAAAATTCTCTTTTATAAATATAGCAATTTGAGCGCCGTTCGAATGGGACATGTTCTTTTTTGATGATGCTAATACACAATTTATCACGCACGCGTCAAACCAAATGAACGGAGCAACGAACACTTATTTCTCTACAAATTTCTAGGAAAGAATAAATTATTACGCTATATTAGATGATCCATCAGAATGAGGACTAGAGAAATAATTTTTTTTAGGAATTATGATTCAGAAGTGATTCTTAGAAAGAATTGTGTGATCAGTATAGCTAATCGATTTAAATCGTAATACTTTTTGATAATAATATTCGTATGCTTTTAATAATAACTGAATATTAAATTTTTAGAAAGAAACGTTCAAGAATTGCAACATTTTTTTTTTTCTTAATTTTTATTGCTTCAATTTTTATTAGAGTTATTTATATTAATTTTTTTATCTAACTCAAAGTAATTGAACTCTATCTAGTAGTTGTTACTTTTATAAAAGAATTATTATCAAAATATATCAAATATTGAAAATTTTATTTCAAGTATCTTCTTCTTGTCTTTTGATAGATACATTTTCTGTTTAATCGAATATTATTAAATCACCAAAGCGTTAAATTTTGATACGTAACCAACATACTGTGAATTCAATACATTTTCTCAGGGCCTCATGTGGATCACAGTATACACGTTTCCATATATAGCCGTCTCTATCATTTGACGAATTGCATTGGAATGCCAAAGCCGTTACCATAAAGATTCACTAAATCCTAATATTGAATTCAGTTAGTATCGATTTCCCATTAATAATCAAGATCTTAGCGCCAAATTAATCAACATAAGTACACACACACATACACACACACACAGATATATATATATATAGTTTCTGATGGATCATACTAATATCGATCGCAAAATAGGTGGTCGTTGCATCATGCTCCGTGTCAATTACCAAAGACATCTCTTTAATTAATCGATGTACTTACGCACCGTTAACAACTAACTCTTTCTCTCTCAAACATACGCACGTTCAGCCGATATATAAATACCATATAACAATTATTAATATTGCGTGAGATTACACCGTTCTCTTAAGTTCCTTTTTTTCTTTTTTTCTTTTTTTTTTTTTTTTTTTTTGTTGTGTGTACACGTGAATACAAATGGAGCCTAGTCAAAAGTAATATTACGAATTATTATATCATCATTTTTACGTTCTCATCTCTTTCACCAAATCCTCTTCAGCACGTAACGTTTATTTCGTTGTTAATCAAATCGGGAAAGAAAATATAAGGGAAAAATTAGTGCTGTCTACGTTGATCACCATCATTAATACGTTTATTATCATTATTATCGCTATACCCCAATTTACCAACATTATCGTTACCTTTATTATCATAATTATTATTAGAACTATTATTAATATTTCTGTCGCTATCGCTCTGTTGATAGATTATTAATGTTATATTATGACGTAATTATTATCGCTATGATTATTGGTGGTATCGTTATTGTAAAACTTTATTCTTATCATTATTATTACTTTTATATCTTATTATTATTATTATTATTATTATTATTATTAATATTATTATTCGCACTTTGTAGGAATGGTGTTTACGATTATTATTATTATTCGTAGAATATTTGTTTGTTAGACGATCATTGTGACGCTAAGCAAATCATTTTTTTTTTTTGATTGCGGTGCAATATATTACTTTTGTATAATTTTTACAAAAGCTAAACGAACGAATAGGGATCACTCGATGCAACGTACTTAATCAATGTCATTCATCATGTCAATTATTATAAATAGAACTTATTTTAATCGATAATAGCAATTTTTTTCACTATGCTCGTATATTTTCATTTTCTTTTTTTAAATGAATTTTTCAATGTTGTTCAAAAGTGAAATA